CCGAAGGCGGGGACGCCGGGGTCCCCACAGCTGCCCTGGTCAATCTCTGCAACGAAAAACAACACGGGGTTGGGTGGGGGAAGGGGCTATGAGGGAGAAAACAGAGAATTTGGGTGTGGGGAAGGCATTCAAAGAGAGAAAATACAGGGCTTGGCCGTGGGAAGGCGTTGGAAGAGAGAAATTGGATGTGGGGAAGAGGCGGGAAGAGAGAAAACAGTTTGGGTGTGGGGAAGGGGCTGGAAGAAAGAGAAAACAAAATTTGGGTGTGAGGAATGGACTGGAAGAGAAAGAGCACAGGGTTGGGGTGTTGGAAAGGGAATAGAGAATTTGTGTGTGGGGAAGGGGCTGGAAGAGAGAAAACAGAATTTGCGTGTGGGGAAGGGGCTGGAAGAGGGAATTTGAGTGTGGGGAAGGGGCTGGAAGAGAGAAAACAGGATTTGAGTGTGGGAAGGGGTTGGAAGAAAGAATTTGGGTGTGAGAAAAGGGCTGGAAGAGAGAGAACACAAATTTGGGTGTGGAGAAGAGGCTGGAAGAGAGAACATAGGATTGGGGTATGGGAAGAGAATTTGGGTGTAGGGAAAGGGCTGGAAGAGAAACACAAAATTTGGGTTTGGGAAGGGGCTGGATGAAAAAAAAATTGCTGTGGGGAAGAGGCTGGAAGAGAGAAAACACAGGGTTTGGGTGTGGGGAAGGAGTTGGAAGAGAGAAAACAGAATCTGGGTGTGGGAAGGGGCTGGAAGAGAGATTTTGGGTGTGGGGAAGGGGCTGAGGCCCAGCTGAAGTCCCTGAAGGGGTGAAGTCCCCACAGGTTGTGGCATCCCAACCATGATTCGTTCCTGAACCCCATTCCCATTCCTGCCTTGTCCCCACACAGAGTTAATCCCTCTCTCATCTGGACTCCAAATAAACCCCAGGCACAATTTCCTGTTATCTCCTGCTCCCCTCAATCCTATTTCCAAAAGGCTCCCTGCCCTGGATCACTATTAGCTCCAAAAACTTCTTCATTCCTCCTTCCCACATTACTTATCTGCTCCACTCTCCCTTCCTCTCCCAATCCTTTGGATTTATCCCCAAAAACTTCATTCCTCATGAGTGTTCCCACATTATTGACCTGCTCCACACTCCTCTCCCAATCCTTTGGTTTTTATCCCCAAAAATTTCCTTCCTCCTGAGTTTTCCCACATTATTTATCTCCTCCTCACTCCTCTCCAAATCCTCTGGTTTTCAGCCCCAAAAACTTCATTCCTTCATTCTTTCTGAGTGTTCCCACATAATTTATCTGCCCCAAGTTCCTCTACTCTCCCAATCCTCTGGTTTTTATCCCCAAAAACTTCACTCCTTCATTCCTCCTGAGTGTTCCCACATTATTTATCTGCTCCACACTCCCCTGGTTTTTATCCCCATCATCTCTGATCAGTCTCGCTGTCTTTTTCCTCCCCGTTTCCAATTTCTTGCACCAAATTGGAAATTTCTTTTCTGACACTTCCTTTACAGAGGCAAACCACGGGAGCTGAGATTTGCATGACGCCCTCTAATATCCCAATTTGGCTGGAATAACAACAAGCACCCTCATTATTATTCTGGCTCCAGGCAACTCCACATCCAGGTGTATTTTGAGCAGAAGTCACGGAGCTTCTGCTGCATCTTGAGCTGAAAACTCACTGCTAGCTAATGAAGCATCCCCAAAATAATTTAACATAAATTAATATTAAAAGTTTTCATGAAACAGGCTGAGATTTTTTTTGCCTCTCAGTGAAAGCACTTTGCCAGGATTTACAGATCTTCCTGCACACTTTCCAAATCCGACTGTTTAGGAGTTGAACTTGCACATTAGGGATGGAAAATGAAAATTTTGGGTGTTAAAGCTGCACTGAACTGTTCGTTCCTCCCCTCAAAAATGCGCAAGGCCAACAGTGCTTAGCATGAAATGAAAATTCAGCTGGAAAAGTCAAGGAATAGCAACGAGCTGGGATGGGAGGGAGTGGATGTGGAACATTTATCAGCGTGTGTGACGGGGCTGGGGATGCTCCCTGCTGCCACTCAGAACACCCTTGGCTGTCACACCCTGCCTGAGCCATGGCAGCCCCAAAATTCCACGCACAGACACAAAAATTCCCATTCTGGCAGCCCCAAAAGCCCTCCACAAATGGACATTAAAAATTCTCATTTTAGCAGCCCTGAGACTCATCCACAAATGGACACAGAAATTCCTGCCTGGCNTGCAAACTTTCTCAGATTTATCCCCAAACCCAAACATTCCTAGGAATGATCAAACATTCCTAGGAATCCCAAACCTGCTCAAATATTTCCAGAAATGAACATGTTTCATTCAAACATTCCTAGGAATGAACAGATTTATCCCAAATCCATCCAAACATTCCCAGGAACGACCACATCAATCCCAAATCCATTCAAAACATTCCTAGAAATGACCACATGAATCCCAAACCCAAACATGTCCAGAAATGAATGTGTTTGCTCCCAATGCATTCAAACTTTCTCAGATTTATCCCCAAACCCAAACATTCCTAGGAATGATCACATGAATCCCAAACCTGTTTAAATATTTCCAGAAATGAACACGTTTCATTCAAACATTCCTAGGAATGAACAGATTTATCCCAAATCCATTCAAACATTCCCAGAATGACCACATGAATCCCAAACCCAAACATTTCCAGAAATGAATGTGTTGGCTCCCAACCCATCCAAACATTCCCAGATTTATCCCCAAATTTTCCCAGGAACAACCACATGAATCCCAAACGAAATCAAACATTCCCATGAATGAACATGTTTACCCCAAATCCATTCAAAACATTCCTAGAAATGACCACATGAATCCCAAACCCAAACATTTCCAGAAATGAACATGTTTCATTCAAACATTCCTAGGAATTAACAGATTTATCCCAAATCCATTCAAACACTACCAGGAATGACCACATGAATCCCAAACCCAAACATTTCCAGAAATGAATGCGTTTACTCCCAATCCATCCAAACATTCCCAGATTTATCCCTAATCTTTCCCAGGAACAACCACATGAATCCCAAACCCAATCAAACATTCCCAGGAATGACCACATGAATCCCAAATCCATTCAAACATTCCTAGAAATGACCACATGAATCCTAAACCCAAACATTTCCAGAAATGAATGCGTTTACTCCCAATCTATCCAAACATTCCCAGATTTATCCCCAAACTTTCCCAGGAATGACCACAACGATCCCAAAACTGCTGAGCGACGCCAACCAACCCAAACCTGCTGGGGTCACTGCAGACCCTTCCCATTCCCAAGAATTTTGGGGCCCAAATCCACTCCTTTTACTCCCATCTCTTTTACTCCCCTCCTTTTACTCCCCCACCATTAAACTCCCTGCCAAACACGAGGCGGGTCCAGAAAAACCGGAATTTTCCAAGTGTGATCCCAACCAACTGAAGCTGCAGCAGAAATTCTGGAATGATTCTCCCAGAACTGGCAGAGGGCACCCGAACCAAGGCAGGAACTCTGCCCAGGGAGGTGACAATGACATTTATTGTCACTCCAAGTGCCACAATCATCCCTCGTGGAAAATGACGGCGCTGCTTGGCACGGGTCAAGCACCCAGAGGAAAATGCAGGGTGAAAATTTGGGAAAGGAAGGAGGAGAAGGGAAAGGAAGAACAAAGATCCTTGAAAGATTCTCTCACTGCAGAACCCCCCCAGGAGCACCAGGGCCCTGCTCTTTCTGTCAAATAAACCTGAAGTGAATTTTGGGGACAAATAAAACCAGAAAATGAGGGGTTTTTATTCTCTACTCCACATGAGGCTGTTCCAACAGCAATTCCCACCCTGGATCTTTCCCTCACCACATCTCCATCCTCAGTGGAGGCAGCTCCAGAGCTGGAATTATGGAGCTGATTCTCCATTTATAAACTGAATTATCTCCTCAGCCACAGGATATTCCATCCCCAAATCAGAGCACAAGGGTTTTCCTTCAGGGATATTTACCCAATGCCCCCACCAAGCCCGTTTTGCTGAGAAAAAGGAACAAATTCTGTCCAAAATCCAGTTCTGGGTGTGGAACTGCCCTGGCCTGTGACAGACACCACATTTAAAAATGCCATTTTTAAAGCCAAAACCAAATGATGGAGCTGGATCAAGCAGTGCAGGATGGTGCAGGACAGAGAGAAGAATTTCTGCCATCACCCACAGCCAGACACTCAAATTGTACAGAAAGACACCCAAATTACAGATACAAACATCCAGACATCTAAATNTTGTCTGAGCTGACCACCAAGGGCCGATTTTTCCCTCAGGACAAGGCAGGGAGAGCCCAACGAAGCCCAAAACTTTCTCTATGAAGAAAATCCATGTTTAAATCTGGAATTTGCTGGGTCCTGTCCACCAAGGGCTGATTTTCCCTCAGGACAAGGCAGGGAGAGCCCAGCACACAATTTAACATGGATTCTTGGCAAACAGAATCCATGTTTAAATTGTGAATTTGGCCATGTCCTGTCTGTGCTGACCACCAAGGGCTGATTTTTCCCTCAGGACATGGCAGGGGGAGCCCAGCACAGCCCAAATCTCTTTTTGCAAACAGAATCCATGTTTAAATTGTGAATTTGACCATGTCCTGTCTGTGCTGACCACCAAGGACTGATTTTTCCCTCAGGACATGGCAGGGAGAGCCCAGCAGAGCCCAAATCTCCCTCTGCAAAGAGAACCCAAGTTTAAATTATGGATTTGCTGTGTCCTGTCTGTGCTGGCCACCAAGGACTTGATTTTGCCTCAGGGCAGAACAGAGAGAGCCCAGCAGAGCCCAAAACTTTCTGTACAAAGAGAATCCAGGTTTAAATTGTGAATTTGCTGGGTCCTGTCTACCAAGGGCTGATTTTCCCTCAGGAAAAGGCAGAGAGAGCCCAGCACAGCCCAAATCTCTCTTTGCAAACAGAAGCCATGTTTAAATCTGGAATTTGCTGGGTCCTGTCCACCAAGGGCTGATTTTCCCTCAGGACAAGGCAGAGAGAGCCCAGCACAGCCCAAATCCATCTCTACAA